AATGAGCTATACTGACAACTGTTGCCAGTTGCATAGCCTTTACCTGCACCTCTGAGTAGATGTCAAGACAAACTCAGTCTTAATTTTAAGATTGCTAATACCTTTTAAAAACACGTGCGATCGTATTTTAAATGTAATAAGGGTGCTTGACCTCGGTGCCTCACACGTTTAAAGTAAACAGAAGGCCCTCTGAGACTCTTATTTGAGATATCCCTTTGTGTTGCTTTTCTCTCCAGGGCCGAGATGGAAGGAAGAATGTTATCCCTCATGTTCTGTCTGTGAGTGGAAATCTGGACCGAGGAGCATTAGCGTACCTCTTTGATTCTCTACAGCTAGCTGAGAATCCATTAACCAAAAAGAAAAACCTACAGAGAAAGGTAACTTTCTGTAGCCTGTGTAAGGAGGAATTGGGGATAGGAGGCAGGGGCGGGTCTGAGGACAAAACCCACAGACGATATGGTTAATGCAAGCATGGAAACAGCTCCCTTTTCCCCATCCCCACCCTCCGTTCCCTTCCCCAACAGGCGCGGACAGAACGCTTTTCACTGGTAGCAGTAGGCTGGCCCCATGGAACTGCCTCTGTGGCCCTTTTCACCCTCATAAGCATTTTTTCTCTCATTCTGAGGTCACCTTTCCTGTTTTACCTTCTTTCTCTGATGAGATGGTAGGCTCTTGCCATGCAGGTGGTGAAGGAGTTAAGAGGGATAATAAGGTAGCTGCTGTCCCTGGGAAAGAGCAGTTTGTCTCTTCCAGCAGCATTTGAAGGTTGCTGAGAAGAGCGAGTTGCAGGTGGTAGTGGGGCATTGCCCCAAGGGCCATCATTATTCCCACTTTTACCCTGGTTTTCTGGAGTTAGAGGCCTAACTTTGAGGCAGCGCTTGTTAACCAGTGTGGTCTTTAGGAACAGGCAGTAGACTGGGTGGTAGCTGTCTGCTGGGCTGTCCCTGATCACTCTGGCCCCATTCAAGATGAAGGCGCTCTGCTGCAAAACTTCATCTCTTTTCTGGGGCTCAGCCAAAATGGAGCAATTTCTGCCACGCAGTCCTAGCTGGCGTGTGTGCTAGTTAGGTGAAATACGGCTTACTTCCAAGGCAGGATTTAGTGCAATGAGGAGAAAATTTTGTATGTTTAGAACGTCGGTTTCAGTGAAAAAAATTCAAATGGCTTTTTAATATTTCCTAGTTCTGTTCAGAATTTCCTGCTAAATACATTTAGTAATCTATGCTTCTTATAAAATTATTAGGTACTTAAGCTTCATCCTTGTTTAGCACCTCTTAAAGTGGCCTTAGACGTAGGAAAAGGTCCAACATCAGAGCTGAGACAGGTACGTTGTAAGTATTTTAATCTGGAGCAGTGGCTTTCCGTGTGAACGCCAGTTACAGTTGCGATGCTGTTTACGTGGGGCAGAAGCGTGCTGCTGCTGTGGTACACAGCGCTTCCGCTGTGCGGGTGGCGAGTTGGAGCAGGGGGCATAGACTGCAGGCAGTGGGTGGTAGATGCCTTCTGCGCATGAACACGCTGATTTCAGAACTGTTCTGAGGGCCGGTATTTGTTCCATGCAAAATAAGGAAAAGAACTAACAAAATCTCTCTCAGCCTCTTAATCTTTCAGAATTACCTTAAAGCATGGGGTGTGTCTTCAGAAGGGTTTTTTAATAGATTTTACTTCAGTCAGTCGTGAAGCCGGTCCCCGCAGAAGGGAGGAAACTTAGGCTGGCATGTTTTTAAATAGAAATGGAGATATAATTGCCAGGCTGCTTTCTACTTGGACATTATTTCAGCCAGAAAACTAACACCAGCTAGAGACGCTGATACCACGCATGCTGGAGTTTGAATGGTGTCTTTGTATAGCACATCAAGCCCTCAAAGTCTTGTCTTTTAACTTTGTTTTTTTAAAAAAACACAGGTTTGTCAAGGGTTGTTCAACGAACTGTCACAAAACAGAATTTCTGTGTGGCCGGGTTATCTTGAAACCGTGCAGGTATCTCTGGAACAGCTTTATACAAAGTAAGGAGAAATAATCTTTTGTAAATTAAACTATGAAGGTGAAAGATGACTTTATGTGGACTAACAAAAATATGCCAGTATTCAGTAAGAAGTCGAGTGCAGTAACCACATGGCTGAAGGCGTGTATCCTGAACTATAAACTTGGCTTCAATTAGTTTTACTACAGAGAGCAACGTTACATTTAGATAGTTCGTTTTTAAAATTAAGTGAAGTTACAAGCCTTTCAGCTGCTGTTGTTTATCTGGAACTGTGAAACTGGGCCTACAAGAAAGCTGGGGAGGACTTTTTCCAAGGGCAGAGAGTGACAAGACAAGGAGTAACGGGTTTAAACGGAAAGAGGGAGATTGAGATGGGACATCAGGAAGAAGTTCTTCCCACAGAGGGTGGGGAGGCCCTGGGACAGGTTGCCCAGAGAAGCTGTGGATGTTCATCCCTGGGAGTGTCCAAGGCCAGGCTGGATGAGGCTTGGAGCAACCTGGTCTAGTGGAAGGTGTCCCTGCCCCTGGCAGGGGGGTTGGAACTAGATGATCTTTAAAGTCCCTTCCAACCCAAACCGTTCTGTGATTCTATGAAATGCCTTTTAGGGAATCTCCTTTTGAAAATAAATGTCTTAAGATGAGTCACAAGCTCACAGAACTGTTTCCCACCCTCACCCCCAGTTTTGCATCTGGACTGGTTCTGTGTTTTGTTCTTAAGTACTGTTTCAAATAGCACACTGTGTCTAGTCTGGAACGTAAAAGTTCTTCCAAGTCTGGAATCATTACTGTTAGTGTGTGTGATGGAATTATTTGTGCAGCTAAAAACTACTGTTCTAGTTGAGGGCTTCAGATATGATTTGTTGATCAGGAGAGAATTTTGAGCGTTATCACTGCTCATGTCAATGGATCTTGAGTATATTGATGAATATGTTTTCCCTAAGAGAAAATAAATATGACTATTTGTTCTGTACAGTAGTCTTCAAAGTAAGTTTGGCTGTTAAAAAACAGAAGAAAGAGATATTCTGCTTCTACAAAAATACTCTTGTAATAGGTCACCAAGTAACATTCTTCTTAGATACTAAAGTAACGAAATTACAGAAATGCAATCAGGAAAGCAAGGAATGGCAACAAGAAAACTGGTGTCTTCACACTGAACTTAGTGCAGTATAGCAAAAAAACCCTACAGCTTATGGTCACTTATACGTAATTAATCTGAATTTTTCATACGCCAAAAGCAGTAATAGATGTGCTCTTCTCCTTGCAGGTACGACGAGATGAGTGTTCTCTTCATGGTCTTGATAACCGATGCCACTCTAGAGAATGGAGTCGTCCAGCTGAGAAGCAGAGACACCACCATGAAGGAAATGATGCACATTTCTAGGCTGACGGACTTTTTAACAAAGTATGTAACATCAGCCAAAAATGTGTAAACTTACATTTGTTGAATAAATGGAATTTCTTAAACATCTGTGTCTGAACTGGCTTCTGCAGTGTCATAGACTGTGATTTCTCTGCCAGTAGTTCTAGAACTTGGCAGTGCTCCTGTTTTCTGTCAAATAGAGACCATCTAGGCCTTCCAGGTTACCTTGAAAAGAGGGAAGAGACAAACTTGTCCACCCTTAGCAGGTCTAACTATATTCTCTTTTATGTCTCCAGTTTTTCTGTCTTACTGAAAATACTCCATGCTAACCTAAAAATTCGTCTTTCGTCTGTGTATTGCTGACACATTTATGGTCTCTGCTGGAAAATGGTCTTTTTATATAAAAGACTTCCAAATCTTAAATGTTTTAATAACATCAGTAAGTATCTTTGTACTGTTTGTAGGAATGTATTTTAATCACATGGCCTTAGTTCTTCTACATCTAAGCTACTTCATCTTGCACTTGATAAACATAAAATCAGAAATAGATTATCAAGAGTAACAGGAAACAAGAAAGAAATTCTAAACAGTTTTTGACAAGCATTTTTGTGGATAAAAAATGTCTGCACATAGCAAATGGTGGAAAAAGACTAATGTGTGATCGTATTTAACCTAAACATAAGTGTTGTAGTCAAAATCAGATACAGGAGTTTGCACAGATACAAAACCAAGTAGATTGACTATGTGTGTGCAGCTTGCTAAGTCGCTGTAGTAAAGTGCTTTAAGGTGTATGCAACAAGGCCTGTGGCCACCGATAGTCGTCAGTGCCATGAAACACAAGAACTTGCCTTAAAAAGTCTTCTGTTAACATGGTGCTTATTTATAAAGAGGTTATTTGTAACTGGCATACACAAAATAATGTTAATTGCTGTGTAGGGTAACTACGCTAGATGTAGCGCAAGGTTAGCAAAGTGTGGCTGTGTGAGTTGATGGACTCATGGAGTTCTGCAAAGGCTGGTTATGGAATGACTTTAAAGCAAACCAGAAACGTCTAAGAAACAGCCGACAGCAAGATGCAGAATTTGTTCTGGGGTTAGCTGTCCCAGAAGTTAATTTTAGCATCCTACCCCTACTCTGAGAGCTGAACTGCTGCCCTCGCTGCTAGGTAACCATGGGTGCAAAGGCCACATATGCGTCCTCTAGCATGTGCCTAAGTGGACAATGCAGTTGGGAATTTTTTTTTTAAATACTTGACTAAAGCCTTTTGATTATTTTCTGTCTGCATACAATCCAGTTTCTACTCCTGGAGAATTTTGAATATACAGGAACTTGGGCCAGGGTGAAAGCTCTACAACACTTATTCCTTTCCGTTTATTCATCAGATACATACAATGCCAGACTGAATGTTTTGTCCAGCAAGATCTTACCTAACAGTGACCACATTGTTTTGTTTCGTTTTGGGGTTTATGGTGCTGTTTGGGCAATAAGCTGCTGTTTGTTTAATGGGATTGCTGTTTGTTTCTCTGTTAATTCCAATTTTTGTCTGATCTATTTTTGCTTTTAAGTTGAAGTCCTTAGAGATTACGACTCGGGGATTTTGCTTGCTAGTAGAGAACGAGCTATATTGTTTGTCTACAAAATAATTAGACCAGGAAACTAGTATCTAAACATCAGCTCTTTTTGTGCAGACTTGGTGGTACTAAACCACATCTGAGGACTGAAAAATTCTTTAAAAATACGTGATTAATTTAATTGCAAAAGAGATCTTACCATGTATTCAGTTTCTGATGAGGACCTCTGAATAGACTGTAGCACATGCCCTGTTTTCTGTAAAAAGCCAGAATAACATAATTGATAATTCCTTTTGTTTGCTACAGATACACAACAGAAGAATTAATATCAGTAATTTGGTCACTAATAGTATCTCCTGTGTGATTTCATAACAAGGCTGGTGAATTTTGGGGTCATAGGATGGTGACAGGCTTTTTATTTGGGATTTTTTGTTTGCCTTTTTCCCCTCACAAAAGTATTAAAGTTACTTCAAATTCTTCATAGTCAGTAAGGAGTTTCAGTATAACTGCTACGATGTAAACCCTGCCTCCCCCCAGCAATGCCCCCCCCACCCCCCACCCTGCCCCAATACTTATTTGTGCACATCAGATGTTCCAATATTATAGCATGAGCTTTTCACCTCTTTCATCTCTTCTAATAGCAGAAATGTTGACATACTCTTCTGGTTTAACAGGCTCTGGATTAAAGATGATGAACAGCAGTTAACTCAGTTACAAGAGACTGATCAGATTTTGTTACTTTTTTTTAATGGTCTTGAAACAAAGCTGTGAGATTCCATATTGCATATCAATCTACCACGCTTTCGGTGGTGTTCCCATGCTTATCAGAGCTATTGTCATGCCCTTGCAGGCTGCGTGGGCAGAACGCTGGTGGATAGCTGGCAGAAGCAGCTCCACAGACCACTGAGTTAACATATCAGGGCAGCTACAGTTCCGCCTACCCTGTCAACAGGAGGGCACGTTTATTGGAGGAGAATGATTCTTTTTGGTATTTAGAAACAGGAAACAATGCCTTTGCTGTTGGTTTGTTGTAGGGAGTTCTTTTTTTTCCCCTTGAAAATGCTGATGTTCACACATAAGGCAAATGTAGGAAATGACAAGATAAAAGCATTGTGGCTGGCGTGTAACATGTTCATTATTGCGTATTTTCTGCAGCTGAAGTAACGTTTCTTAACGTAGGTCAGTTGCTTTGTTGTCTTAGCATTACTTCATAATTTCAGGTTGAACTGAGTCTTGTCACAGTTAAGCAGCATGGAATAAAGAACTGTCGTGTACTGGACAATTTTGAACAGAATGCAGGAGCTACGTAAGTTTTTTGTTTTGCTACAACTTGCATATGGCCCATTCTTATCTCTTAGTGAATGGGCATTGCACCCCTGAGCTACTTATTGTCTTAATTTTCTTTTCCTCTGTAATGGCTATTTCAGTCCTCACCATGAGTTGCCAAATGCAGTTCTTCATTTTACTTCTATTTACAGTAAATTTTTGGATAGAACTTCATTTAACCGGGTGCAGTTTTGGCTGCGTGGCTGATGGGTAGTGCCAACTGTGGATCCTGAGGGACTTCAAATACTGCCTCTGGCCGGCATGGTCAGAAGGAGCGTTAGCTCACTGACTGAACGGTTGTAGGTGCCCCACTGGTTTTGCAGTACCTGAAGAAATTTGCCCAAACTACCTACAAGTAGTATAACGGCATTCTTCAACCAAACTCCCACAAGCAAGTTGGGTGACTGCATGAGGAGTAACATGAACTTACCAATCTCTGAGTATGTGACATAGTTTTCAGTGTCTTCTGCATTCACTGTTGAAGTAGGGCCTCTTGAGGACCTAGTAGTCTTAAATTTTTCTGCAAATTGTAAAATGAAAATAAACACATGCCCATGTACATATATCACTTTTTCTCAGAGGGAAATAAACAGCTCCATGATATTTTTTGAATACTTTGAGGTCTCAGATAATGTTATTTTCATGATAAAAACTACCAACAGCATTTTTAATAGATTTTCCTTTCTTTACTAAGAATAACGAGGTCCAATTCCTTCCAATGTTCATGTATATTAAATTAGATATTTCTCCCATCCCTGACCTGCTATCTAAAACACAGCTCAGACGTTTTGCCTTATTTATGTCTTGTTAAGTTGCCTGTGCCAGTTAAGACAGACTTGACAACATCCTAAAATACTAAGAGCATAAGTCTACTTGTAGCATGATACTTGCACACTCCAGTGTATAGACAACATAAATGAGCAGTTCTCGAAAATTAAACAGACATTCAAATAACTTACTTGCTTTATATGAAGGAATGATGTAATATGGAATTGCCAGAGCACATCCTATTACGAATAGTATCAAGATCAGCCCAAGACAAATTATCAGGTGTTGAGAATGGTTTCTCTCTTCTGCCATAAAGAAAAAAGGTGCTTATGCTATGAAATAATGTTCATATGCTAAGTATTTTCTGTAAATTAAAATTAAGTCTTTGCATTTCTTTCATCTTTTGGATTAACTGTGGTTAATGTAACTGCTCAGGAGAGTCCCAGCTGCACAGTGCCACAGCAGCAGGAAGAGAGCTTGGTGGTACCAGCAGACTCTCATATGCCAGAGAGAAAAATGACACTAGACTCTCCTCAGGGTGGAGCAATGTGGACCCGGGGTCTCTTGTAGAAGTCCGTCTTTTACAGTCATCCTGCATGGCTACTTCAACTTCTGCTGCTATCTAGGCTGCATGGAATTCTCTCTTTCTGCATTAATTTTAAAAACCCAAATTATTTTTTTAATTGTAAAAAATTGTATTTTGAACGTTACCTTGCAGGAACAAAATTTCTGGCTAAAAAACTTCCATTGTTGCAACACTCTGAACTTTGTGTGGTCCCTGTTTATTGACAGTGGTAAACTTTCACACGTGCGTACCTGCTAATGTGAAGTTGAAAGCGTTGCTGTATTTTGTTTTATTGATAAAACTATTTTCAGCTTTGCATCTATAGGTTCCAAAGTCACTGGAGGAATTGATACATAGAAAAATCACAGCTGCTTCCTTCTTCTGCATCTTCACTCGGGAGATGCTTTGTTTTTCTTTGAAGAATATGTATGTGATAGGAAGAGAGCCATTCTCTGAGAGACAATAAAGGGTCACATTCTGACCTTTCTTTGCTTGAGAGGTGGGTGAGCTCAGCACTGGTTTGGAAACTGGCTCTGTAAAAAGAAAACTGAGGAAACTGCATCACTGAGTACAGGACAAGCTCCAAAGCAAGACTTGGTGTGAAGCAGCAGCATTGGCAAATGAGACGGGCATCGAGGGTGGGGGGCTCAGTGAGCCAGGTCAGAAGAGCACTGCCAACTCTTAAGGAAGTAACAGCCGTTTGCAGTGAAGTTCAGCTCTGCGATCAAGGCAGTGCACACTGCTGTACAAAACAGGATCTGTCACAAGCAAAAAACCCTGACTGCTGCTGCTGCAGGTACATTGCATTGCACATGGCTATGTGCTCTTAAAATAAAAAGTGCTGGGGAGGTATACAGCGAGACATACCTAGAAGGGTGAAGATGAGACTATTGCTGTATTTTCCGCCATGGGAGTTGTCACTGTCAGCTTTGCATTTGTATTCACCCACATCACTGGCAGAGTTGATAGTCAAGTTAAACAAACCAGGAGTCAAATCTGGCCTAATTGAAGTGGATACCTTCTGATTGTGTTTAAACAATGTGTATCTGACAGGTGGAGATCCAGAGTCCAGCTCGCAGGAGATGGTGATGTTCTGGTTCATCATTACATTCAAACACCCCTGAACAAGTATGAGCCTGGGATTGGACAACATCTCTGGAAAGAAGAAACTCGGTGAGTTCACTGCACTTACCATCCAAGAAACTCCCAAATTTTTACAAAAATATGTTCAGGACCAAGCTATACTTATTTTTGTTGAAAGAGGGGGTTATATTTTTTCCCACCTCTGGTAGAAGGCAACACAACTTTTTATTTTTCAAAATCTGTATGCACCTTCCAACACTTGAAAAATGCACTTCTCATACAGAAGAGTGCATATACACACAAAGCCAAGAAGTGTGTCCAGAAGGACCAACAAAAATACTTTTGAACTACAGCAGCGTTGAAGATAACAGAAGTATGAAAGATAAACAGATATTATGGGATGTTAACTGTAGGAGAAAGTAACCTTATATGCTAGGTGAGAGGTAGCATTTGAACCTGAAAGTAAAAGCAGTACTTTATTTGTGGCTGTCAACAGGCAAAATTAACCTTGTGTAAGTAGATGAAACTTCTGTGTAGTAGCAGCAGGAGCCTTTACAATCTGTCACATTAGTTTGCTTTTAGGAAACCATACAAATAAATTTGTAATAATAACGGCTTTTCATGTAACTTGGTAATAAACTAGTCATGACTAAGATAAATTGTGACACTAGAGGGGAAAAAATACGTTTTAACAACTTAAAGCCATTTTGACTGTACCTAAAAGCAAAGAAAGTCAGCTGTATAGAAACTTGTAAAAATTGCCTCACTTACCATAAGGGGCAAAATATTTAACTTTGCATTAATGTTCTGGACATTTTTAAATCCCTCACCCATATTTTTGTTAAGTCTGTTTCAACACATACCCCCAAAACAACAACAACAACAAAAATGGCTTACCTTTGCCGTTTGCAGTAGTTTTCTGAATTTGTTGAGACACTTGAACTAAGAGGAGAAAAGAAAGCTTTCAGACAGGAAACAGTGGTTCTTGTTTAGAAATACTTGTAATATGTAAGAAGTGTGTCCTTGGCTTACGGTAGGAAAACAGCAGAATTGTGAGAAAAACCATTTTCTTGACACTGGGCAAGACAGCTGGTGGGGTTACATTCGTGGTGAGATCTTTGAAGAATGGCTCCAGGGGTTGAGGAAGTCCTAAATAGGGAAACAACTCTGGTCTTCACTGATGTTCCTGTGAAGACTTCTGTCGTATTCCGCTTACACTTGGCCTGGGGCAGGCAGAGCAGTGGCTAAAGAAAAAGCTGTGGAGCGGTTTTGGGGTACAACAAAATGTTACATAGAGTTGTTCTAAGATGTAGCTGGCATAATAAGCAGCTTTTGCGTGTGAGAGAGCTGTGTGGCAGCACTGTGCTGCCATGCGGTATAGAAGGCTCTATGTCATTTTTCCTTCGCTGTTCTTACAAAAGAATGAGATCATGATTCCTATCAATCAGTCACGCGTTTGCTGGAGATAATACAAGTGATCATATGGCTGAGACGAAGGGAGTATGTGGTTCTGGGGGCTTTTTAGCAGCAATGCACTTTTTAAAAATATTGCCCAAAAAACTACTTGCACAGCGAGTGCCTTAAAAGTGTTGTTGTGAACCTTATTTCTTTGCCCAGTTTCTGAAGGTTAACAAGACAATGCCCTACCGATCTGTCGTCTCCTGCGTAGCACAAAACCCCTCCCCAGGCCTGGGCTTTTGCACCACTGCAAATTTCCCTCACAGAATCATATGTGCAACTTCCTTCCTCCTTGTTTTTTCTCGCTTTTTTTTTTTTCTTAATTTCTTGTAAGACAACCTCCACCCCCGCCCTCAGTAAGGTTTCTTATGTGGAAATCCTGACAACGAACCACAAGACTGGAATGTTTTTTTGGCAGCTGGCAGGGGGCATGTGTAAAACCGCCAATATCGGAAGAAAACTGGGAGCGTTTGTGCGTTTTCCTCTTGTGGGAGCCCGTTCTTTGTCAGAAAACGGCAGAAATAGTCCCGAAGGCGCTGGCAGCCAGGTGGCAGAGGCGAGCTCTCCCGAGGGCTGCGAAGGAGCCCGGCTCTCGCCTCCCTGTGCGGAGGAGGGGGCGGGAGGCTCCGCGGGCGCGGGCG